CCCAATTGATCAAGATTCCTGCTCACTGTCCACTACACCACCAATTTTGGTGTCATCCTCATCTTCCACAAACTTACTAATCATTCCTCCCATATTCTCATCTAAATAATTTATATAAATGACAAACAAAAGTGGAACTAATACAGATCCGCATGGAATACTGCCGTATTACAACAGCGAATCCACTTTGAGAGCATTTTATCAGCTGGAAGTAACTCTGGAATGAACTGAGATTCTGACAGTCAGAGAGTCACAGATGCCTACAGCACAGAGAGCTCCTTTAGCTCATCAGGGCTATGCCAGTCAAAAACAACCACCTAACTGTTCTAATGCCATTTTCCAGCACTTGGCCCACAGCCTCGTATGCCTTGGTGCCGATATACAATGGTTTCTGCCTCTGTCAAGCAATCTAAGGCATGATAGAAATGTGCAAGTTTAAAAAAATACATTTTTCATTGATTTTTATTCATCTTATTAACCTCCGTGGGTCTTGTGGCAAAGGTACTCCCACGATGATGTTAATTGCTGGGTTTTGACTCGGTGACAATAAATATATGGATATATGCCCAAATCAGGATGATGCATGACTTGGAACAGGGATTGGCAAGTGACAATGATTCTAACATATTGCTTTGGTTGATTTTTGTGGCAAAAAAACAGACAGGGAACAGAGAACAAGGCAGAAGTATGTGCACATCGCTTTAGCTGAGTGGATGATCCATCTCAGCCTTCTCCAGAGCTCCCAGCATCACAGATACCAGTCTTCAACCAACTCGATTCACTCCACGTGATGTTGAGAAACGGTTGGAGACACAGGATACTATGGGCCCTGACAACATTCCGGCAATAGTACTGAAGCCTTGTGCTCCAGAACTTGCCGCTCCCCAAGCCAAGTACTTCTAGTATAGCTACTGCACTGGCATCTACCCGACAATGTGGAAAATTGCACAGGTTATGTCCTGTATATAAAGATCAGGACAAATCCAACCTGGCCAATTACCGTCCCATCAGTCTCCTCTCGATCATCAGTAAAGTGATGGAAGGTGTCACTAACAGTGCTATCAAACAGTACCTGCTCAGCAATAACCTGCTCAATGACGCCCAGTTTGGGTTCCGCCAGGGCCACTCAGCTCCTGATCTCATTACAGCCTTGGTTCAAACATGGACAAAAGAGCTGAATTCCAGAGGTGGGGTGAGAGTGACAGCCTTCACTGACGAACATATTACAGTAGCTTTATTGGCCAGGATTACATAAAGATGTGATGAAACTTTAGAAGACAAGCCATATATATGTCGCTGAGAATCAACTTGTAAAATCCTTCCAGTATGCTCCGGCGGGAGGTGCTGAGAATGAAGGGAGTAAAATTCCTGGACAGCCATGAGGATGAAATGAAATCATACCCTGTATCATCATGCATAGCTCTTGGCTACAATGTGCATGTGAATGTGTATTTCGCCATGGAAACACAGAGCCCTTGGTGCAGTGTTCCAACGAAGCACAGCACAAACACGAGGAGCGTCAAAACAAAGCCAAGAACTGCAGATGCTGGAGATCGGGAAAAGAGGCAGAAATTGCTGGCAAAACCCAACAGGTCTGGCAGCATCTGCAGGAACAGACCAAACTCTGATGGAGAGTCGCCGGGCACGAAACATTAATTCTGTTTCTCTTTGTCTCCACAGATGCTGCCAGGCCTGCTGAGTTTCTCTAGCATTTTTCTGATTCTGCACCTTATTTTCCACTGAGATACGTGAAAACTTTGAGGTCTCAACATTGAATTGTCATTCACTGTATTGTATTTGTTCATTTTTCTTATATTCTCTTGCCCGACAAATTGTGTTATATTTTTGTCTTGTTTATTTTGCCCTTAGTACTGAGGGTCAATTCTCAATCTTTCACACATCTATTTTACATCTCTTTTTTTTCTTTCTCCAGTGTTAGTAGCCCCTTTGTCTTTGGCATTGGGTCTCTACACCATCTACTCTCTTATTCCTCCTCGGCTTTTGTTGACCCCACCCATCCAGGCTGCTTCTATTGTTCCAACTCTTTTAAAAAAAAAACCAAAGCCTCACAAGCTGTTCAGTTTATTGAATTTAAATAGACAGTTCAGCTCCTCTACATTAAAGTTCTGTATTGAGTTCTGAGGAAGGGTCACCGGACCGAAAACTTTAATTCTGTGGTTTCCTTCACAGATACTGCCAGACCTGCTGACCTTTTCCAGCAACTTTGTTTTTGTTGCCTCTATATTAAAACCACTCTTTAAATAAAAGGATAAAATACATCTCTTAAAGCCATGATATCATTACAGTTCCATAGATTCATCAACTTTTGGCTGAAGAAATTCCTCCTCATCTCAGTCCTAACGAGCTGTCCCTTAACTCTGAGGTCACGCCCTCGGGGCCCAGTCTCTCCTATTAGTGGAGACACCTTCTCCACTTTACCCAGGCCCCTGTATTATGGGGTAAGTGGAGGCGTGTTGATTTTAGGAGTCCCAGTAGCCTCATATGGCCAGTCAACAATTTGAGGCAACGTTCTGATGGTTGACTGAGAGGCAGCAGTTTAGATTTGGTACATCAGTCACCTTAGGGCAAAGAAAAGAAACAACCCGTGACAGATACTGTTGTGCAGCCATTCTGTAGAATGGTGCAGTGGTAGTGCACCTACTTCTGCATTAGGGGGCCCATGTTCATTACCCCACCTGCTCCTGGGATGTGCAAAAACATTGCTGAACAGATTGCTGAAGAATGCATGCACCAGCCCCATTCTTATGATATAAAAATAGTCTGGAAAGACTGTGATTTTTTTCACTGGAGCATAGGAGGCTGAGGTGTGACCTTATTGAGGTCTATAAAATCATGAAGGGCATAGATAAGGTGAATGACAAGAGTCTTTTTCTGGGGTGGTACAGTTCAAAACCAGGGGGCATATTTTTAAGGTGAGAGGAGAAAGATTTAAAACAGACATGAGGGGGGCAACTTTTTTACACAGAGAGTGGTTCATGTGTGAAATGAACAGCCAGAGGAAGTGATGGATGCGGGTACAGCTAGAATGTTTAAAAGACATTTGGGTAAGTTTATGAATAGGAGACGTGTGGAGGGATAAGGGCCAAACACAGGCAGGTGGGACTAGTTTAGATTGGCAGCATGGATTAGTTGGACCGAACGGTCTGTTTCCATTGCTGTATGACTCTATGGCTCTATTGAAGCATATTGAGCTGCCTTTCTCGCCCCCATTAATTCAAGTATCCGTGATAGCAATGCGACCATCTTCCTTGTGTTTACATATATACATTTAAGCGAAGCCAAATGGCTGTACTGTGCACTTGTTGGTCTTTGATTCTTCTGCCCGTTTGGGGTCACAAGGTTAATGTTCCATTGCCAAATCAGAATGGGCATCGACTTTGCCTTTCCTCTTGTAGCCACTAGCATAGCAAGTTGAAATCTATTCTTGTGACAGGTTTCAACCACAGACTGCTGCTGCACTTTATAACGTGTGAAGCGGTCACTTAAGTGGCCTCACCCTGCTACTGAAGCAAAGGTGATGGGATTGGGGTGAAGCAAACGCTTCTGCACCCTATGGAGTTGGAGGAATGTCATCAGCCAGGAGTGAGCCTGGTACCCCTGTCACCCTGAACCTCAGATTAAAGGGACGGTTACTACCAAACCCAGCTGACAGAGCCCAGATGAAAAGATTGGCCGATTTCACTCTACATCGGTTTGCACTTCCTCACCACAGAGTGAGGGGGGTGGGAAGTACAGGGTTGGCTGGGGTGTAGGTGGTGTTGTCTCTCACATTCTCTTCTTCACTTCGACAAACACCCAGCAGCAAAGCACAGACAGGGCGAATAATAAGGGAGACAACTTTCTACCTGGCTTCGGTGACCCATAACATCTCCAAAAGCAGTTTAATAACCTGTCCTTTGGTCTCATGTTGAAAACAAGGTTCCAGATCCAGCTCCTCCAAGGGCAATTTCTGAGCTTGTGATTCCAACAAGGGACCTAGAACTAAGCTCTCAAAATGTAAAGGAGTTTTTACTCTGTATCTAACCCCATGCTGCCCCTGTCCTGGGAGTGTTTGTTGGGGATAGTGTAGAGAGAGATTTACTCTGTATCTAACCCCCTTGCTGCCTCTGTCCTGCAAGTGTTTGATGGCGTCAAGGTAGAGGCAGCTTTACTCTGTATGTAACCCCTTGCTGACCCTGTCCTGGGAGTGTTTGGTGGGGTCAGTGTAGAAGAAGGTTTACTCAGTATCTATATTGTCCCTGTCATGGAGTCATAGAGTCATTCAACACGGAAGCAGACCCTTTGGCCCCACCAGTCCGTTCTGAACATAGTCCTAAACTAAAATAGTCTGACCTGCCTACTCCTGGCCCATATCCTTCCAAATCTTTCCTAGTCATGTACTATTCCAAATGTCTTCGAAATGTTGTAATTGTACCCACATCCACCACTTCCTCACGAAGTTCATTCCACACGTGAACAACCCTTTGCGTAAAAGCTTTGCCCATCCTTTTTTTTTAATCTCTCTCCTCTCATCTTAAAAATGTGCTCCCTAGTCTTGAAATCCCCCATCCTAGGGAAATGACACCTACCATTAACCCTATTTATACTCTCCTCATTTTATAAACTTCTATCAAGTTGTCTCTCAACCTCCTACGCTCTAGTGAGAAAAGGTCCCAGCCTCTCTAGCATTTCCTTATAACTCAAACCTTCCATACCTGGCAACATCCTGGTAAATCTCTTTTGAAGCCTGGAGGGTTTGATAAGGACCGTGTAGAGGCAGTTTTACATTGCCTGGTAGTTGCACTGAGAGTGGATAATGCTATGTCACCACATCGTGATAAGGAAATGGAGTGACACCATGAGGGGTAGTGAGTTAAGAAAGAGCAGGTGGGTTTTTTTTTATTAGCCGCTGTGTCACTGGCCATGCTGGAGTGTATTCAGAGTGAAAGCAGGAAGTGCAGTGTCTAAAAATACAAAGCGGTGGCTTTTGGTGCTAAGTCTCAATCATATACAGTGCCTGGGGCTGCAGAGGGAGAGTGAGCCTCACACAAACACACACAGACACACACACACACACACACACACACACACACAATCCCCGCAGACGGAGAACTCAATGGCACACAGTCTGAACCAGGACCTGAGATGTACCATCTGCACCCAGATGTACACCGAGCCCGTCACCCTGGACTGTGGCCACAACTTCTGCAAGGAGTGTGTCTTGGAGCAGTGGAACACAGGGGGTGCCAAGGTTTCTTGCCCCCATTGTGGGCAGTGCTTCCCCAGGAGGGAGCTAATGACCAACCAGCTCTTGGCAACCATCGTGGCCAGCCTGCGGAATCTGAACCTGGAGAAGGAGGTCGGGCTGGGTGGGCAGAGGTGCCCACTCCATGGTCAACAGGCACGACTCTTCTGCTCCAAGGATCTCAGGCTGGTGTGTCCATCCTGCCCCCCGCAGGGCCACGACGGGGGTAGCTCGACTCTGATAGCTGTGGAGGAGGCATACGCAATCTGTAAGGTAGGCTCAATTTCAGGGGACACCTCCACAGACTTACTTCCTTCTGGCATCGCTTGGAGTGTGGCAAGAGTGCTGTAGGAGTGTGTGAGTGTGTGTGTGAGTGTGTGTGTGTGTGTGTAAGGGTGTGTGTAAGGGGGTGTGTGTGTGTGCGTGTATGTGTGTGTGTGTGTGTATGTGTGTGTAAGGGTGTGTGTAAGGGTGTGTGTCTGTGTGTGCGCGTGTGTGTCAGGGTGTGTGTGTGTATGTGTGTGTGTAAGGGTGTGTGTGTAAGGGTGTGGGTGCATGGTGTGACAGTGTAAGGGTGTGTGCGTGTGTGTAAGGGTGTGTGTGTGTGTGTCAGGGTGTGTGTGTGTGTAAGGGTGTGTGCGTATGTGTAAGGGTGTGTGCGCATGTGTGTAAGGGTGTGTGTGTAAGGGTGTGTGTGTGTGTAAGGGTGTGTGCATGTGTGTAAGGGTGTATGTGTGAGTGTGTTTGTGTGAGTGTGTTTGTGTTTAAGGGTGTGAGTGTGAGTGGGTGTGCGTACGTGTGTGTAAGGGTGTG